AGCACTGTCATAGCAAAACAGAAGACTATTCTTTCCATTTTTTAGGAACCTGAACAAACACAAACACTTTTGGAATTACTTGTCTGCAAGCTCACTCCCCAACAGCTCCTTGTACTATTTTTGAAGCAAGAATGTGAGCTGAAGCTTCTGAAAACTGATGTCAAAGACCTGAAAACCCCAAACTTGGTCCAGGAACGTACACATGAAAAACACCTCTCTACTGCACTCAAGACTATTCCTTTCCAACTAATTAAGTAAATGTTCTCTTAGTAGGTGTACATCTTCCCCAGCTCTTTATTTCATGCAAAATCATTTCTTCCAATTATAGTTTTCTTTTACAATTTGAATACAAAACACAGAAAGGTGTGCCAAGAGTACATGCCAGCCTCATTTATGAAACTAACAGCTTGACAACCCCTTAACTACACCAGTGACATACTGGTCACTGAGACCAGTAGGAAAGAAGGGAAATTTTTTAAAAGGCAACTCACTAAGTCAGGGCTGGCAATAAAACAGAATACAAGATAAACAATGGCTTTTAGTTTTAACCTTAAAGTCTAGCACTGAATGTAAGGGCTTACCAGAGTGGGGTCTGGATTTAGAAGTTCATTTGTAAAGCAGCAAAGCTACAGTTACCCAACTCTTGTGTCAACATAATCAAAATTTATCAGAAATTATCACATTTTGTTGTGCTATGAGAAAATTGTTTGCCCTGGGCTTTCAGTCTGAAAAATAAGTCTTTGAGGAAAGAATACAATTAATTGATCTAAGGACTGATGAATACAGATATTGTCATGCAGATTTCAAAAACACTTCCTTCCCTTATTCATGATTTAAGATGTTATTAAAACCACATACCTGCCCTGATCAGTAAACTTAAGAAGTGATTTAAAAAGGAATGCAGCAATAAAATTGAGGCCCCACTGCTTAAGATATAAGCTAGCAGTCATTCTAAATTTGGGCTTTGTAAAATCTAAACCATTCATATTTTCATTTGCCAGTATTGAAGAATCCTACAGTTATGCAGATAAGGGTAAAATGGCACTCATTAATTATTTTCTATGGTTAAATTTAAAGGGCAATAAAACTAGTTGATACTATAAAGGATACTTTCTTTATAAACCACGGGACTGAGCAAGGCCTATCACTTTGCAGTTATGGAGAATCACAGAGTAGAACTGATTTACATTTGACTATATACTACTGTTATTTGCATTTCACAAGCTCTTTATGTGCTTCTCACCAATTTGCTCTCTGGGTTAAAAAGAAAATTTTCTGGGCAAATGACACAATGACTCATTGAACCCTTTAGCCAGGAAGATGCTGTTAAAACATTCATGCCACTTCTTTAATGACATTTTCCACATCAGTGTGTTTTCAGTGTAAGGCAGACATTTACCAGGGCTCTGGTTTGGTGCCACATGTACTCCTGAATCTCCTGCTTATCTTATCAGCTCAGAAATTGCTACTGACATCACGGGAGCAGTTATTTACATATACAGAATTAAGAGTTTGTTCTATTACTATTAACTCCCATTTTCAAACAAAAAAGATAAGCCATTTACTTTCTTTTTTAGAGCACAAATAATTGTACATGAAGACAACAGCATTGTAAAGTACCTCACACATCCCTGTAAATGTTAAATGGAAGTTTATTAGATGCTGAATAAAAGCTGATTTAACTGAAGGATCAGATATACATATCTTTGGTAATTCAATTGCATTTTATTGTCCACTGTAGATAAGATCAGTTTTCCTGTATGTATTCAGAATGGAGACTTAGAGAAGCAAAATAGCTACACCTAGTATCAATTTTTTTAACTGCTTTATATTGCAGTCTTAGGTTTCTCATTTTCTTCACCTAGATTCATTTTGTAGTCTCATAATAGCTTGAGAAAAAGTCATATACCAAAATCAGAGATTAGCTTCAGGCATAAGTTGGTTCTTCTGAGCAGCTGTTTCATTGTGGCTTGCAGTTCTGTTTGGTTTTCTGTTTTCAGTGTTCACAAACTAATTAGTTAAATGGAAATTAAACTTCTGCTGGCATCTACAGGGATTCAAAGAAAGGTAGAGAAATGGCAGGGGTGAAGCTTGCAAAATGTTCTTAAAACATCCTTCCCTCTTATTTTCTTTAAAGAAAAAAAGGTTTTTTTAAAAAAAGATTGCACTGCTTTACTTAGATTTAGTTTAACCAGAAGTATTTCAAGACCAACATTTTTTCCAATCTGTGGTTCACAACATATCTAACTTATTTTACTAATACATAAAATTGAAGATACTGCAATATGAAACAGTTCATTTCTTGAGCACTATGACTTTGTAATATTAAGTAAGTACATGGTTGTGAGCAGGCATGTGTGAGGTGGGATGAGAGAAGGGGACAGGTGGGGCAAGAGACAGAAAGAAAATACACAGACATGCACACTCTACAATCCCAAAGAAGTGTAGACTCCTTCAAGATGTGAACGTTTCAATACTCTTTGACAATAACTGTCAAGAAGCCACTGTTTAAATTTTTTTTAAAAAAAGGGGAGATGAAAGGAAGTAAAAAAAATTCCCTCCAGATACATTTCCAGTTACTAATTGTCAAGACAACTAAAAGTCGCAAAATAAGAGACCACAAAACTGCAGGTCAACCTTCCCAGCAAAGAAGGGAACAGCTGTAAATTCGACACAGTACTATCACATTGATATTCAAGTTTCTCCCCAGCTCCAAGTTAAGCTCAATAGAAGATCAATCAGCAGTGAAATGAAGCTTACTGTCCCATCTTTATAAGGTATACAGACCATAGCAAGTTTCAGATGAGGAGGTCCAGCCTCCTGAACAGTTGCACTTGTCTGCTATCACATATGTTGCCTGGCAGAGTAGAACATCATTAAACACTAAACTCTCTAAAGATAAACTAATATGCCTTTTTTACCATAAGGAAATGGCATTTATACAGAGAGCTAGAGAGTCACGAGTACTTCTACTACTCAAAGTCCTGATGACCAAAGAAAAGATTTCCAATATGTATTTTCTGTAGTGAAGTAATCCAATCAAACCACAGGAAAATTCCAATGTAAACAATGCAAACACAGAAACCTTTTCCACATTAAGATGTCATGACTTCTAAGCAAGATCTTTGGCTTGATGACATTTCATCTAGAAGCACACCAGATGTTTTATCTTGGAAACTGTAAGAAAGTTCACCATCTTTTTGAAGACTTCTTTTTCTCTTACCTAATGATTTTACACCTAGCATTACACTACCAGTGGTCTGATGGGAGATTTTTATTTCACACGTGCACAGTACCTAGAGAAGAAAAACGTTGTGTTTTCTGCACATGTTGTTTTTCCATAGTATATAATACTGTGGAGTCATCAATCAGTGAAAACTGACTGCAATTAGCTTTAGGTTCCAGTGGTATGTTAGTAATTTTCAAGAATCAAAATTCACAAAAGAATAGGAACTCTTTAGTGTTTTAGTTAAAACTTGCAACAGCTGCACCCACTGAGTCACTAAAAGAACAGATCAATTGTATGCTGCTGTACCCAATTTAGGTACTATTACATGGACACTAGGACCATCTAACAATCAGTGTTTCCCAAAATTGTTCGAGTGGCAATGCATTAGAAGAGAGTTTGGTTTCATATCCTAGAGATTCAAATTTGAAATAGTTAGCTGGATCAATACAACCCTTCTGTTCATCTAGGATGTGACAAATTTTGTATGAGTAAGACCACCATGGACAGGAGCTTTCTGAGCAGAATTTTAAAGAGACCATAACATCCTTCAGAACTTGCAAAAAACACTAAGCACTTAACCTTGACCAAACAGTACTTAGCTAGCATTTTGTAGCATACAGCTACATTTAGTTCATACAGTGTACAGGGCTCAATCCTGTAAGTTTCTGCACATCCTATTATCTCACTAAGAATTGACTCAGTGATTCTTCAAGTAAGTTGGAAATATCTGTGCTCCAGCACCTGGCTTTAAAGTATTACCATGTTAGAACAAATAAAAATTACTTGTTAGTCATTCTAGCTTAACTTTGCAGGCAGAATCAGATGGAAATAGCCAGATTGAGATTTTATGAAAGCCATGTGCCCTTTTTTGTCAAACTTCCTGCAGAATAGTGAAGACCAGTATCTGTGAGTACACACTGTCTCTCTAACTTCGGTAACAGGAAAACATATTTATACTTGCTTACCCTCTGGATATAAGAGCCAAGGAATTTCTATTTAAATCAGTACAGATGTATAAGAGACTTGAAATCGGAGAAATTCAACCCACCAGAGTTAATCTATCAGTATTTGTTTTAGGGCAGTGTCTTACAGCCCCTCTATTTCCCAATCAAACTCCATGGCTACCAGCACCCCTTGCCCAGTTAGTCATCAGCTGAGCTCCAAGTCTCACTCCAGAGCTCTTCTTGTCCCTCTAGAGCAGTAGCAGTGTTTGGAAAACACTACCACCTCACCTCTCTTTGCCTCGGGGTACACCCACCTCAATTATGGTTGCATTGACAGCACTGGCCAAAGCAGGAAGGTAAAATTGATCATTACCTTTCCCAAAGAACAATGCACAACAATCTACAGAAGTACTTAAAACAACTCATTGGGAACTGACTAGTTTCTTACAGAGTTAACAGTCTATTGACACTTGAGATAGTTTGAACAAAAACGCAGGCCAAAACACAAAATAAAGTACATAACATAATTTTGTGGTCAATAACAAGAGTGAGATGAATGGAAGACAGATACATAAAATAAGAGAAAAAATTGCTACACGGTCACTGCTAGAGAATTGCTGATCGCCATTTAAATGGACAAGAGGATGATTTACTGACTGTAACAGAACCTACAAATCCAGCTGCAGCAATATGTTTACCTTTCCTTGTTCCCTTTTTATGTATGACACACGCTACCATCTGCTGGACAAAGTGCTGAACTAATCCAATAACATAAAAGGCTGGTTTTTGGTTTTTTGTTGCGAGAACCTCTTTACCATCATGTTTACCTGAGGCAGATGCAAAACAACCTGGGATGTGTGGAGACCATATAGTGCTGTAAATGACCCCTTCGTGGCCTTTAAAAGTGCGTAATGACTTCCCCACAGCTGGATCCCACTGAATAAAGTAAAAAAGAAAACTGTTCAATTAGAAAGAAAAACATTCAATACAAAAAGAGAGGGTTTCAAACATTACAAAAAAAAGCTTCATACATACAGAAAGAACTAAATTAATTTCTTTTTAGCATGTATTATGAAAGGCATTTGTATACCTAAACTGGTATCAACTGAGGGATTAAGCAACACCTCAGTTAAAACAGAATTTCAGCCTTAGGGTAAAAATAAAGAGCAAAAGTGCATCAGTGCTGTTTTCTTAACATAAAGCAATATCAGATCCAAAACATTTTTCACCTTCAGCAGAAAACCAACATACCAGCTTGGCTGTTTGATCCCATGAACCAGACACCACTAGCTGCTCTCCTCTAGTTTGGCTCCAGTCAACACTATATGCCTATAAATGATATAACGGCATAGTTTAGAAGGAGCATTAGAATACAAGTTTGAGACTGTAGTTAGTCAAAGTTTCACAAAATAGACTTGGATTTGCAGACCGAGTCCTAGTCAGCTAAAAAACTATACCAGTCAAGCACCACAAAACTGCCAACAATGTTATTTACCTGAACAAAAATTAAACTTAGCATCTCAATCAGGCATTAAAGGTACATATAGGCTCAGAAAAATATCCAAAAAAGCAGATGAGCCAAACTGAGGGAAAAAAAAAAAGTTGTAATAAAATCCACATACATCCCCCATCACTAGAAGTCTACCACCTTAAAAGCTGTAATTCAGACTAATTTCTTATTGCTGATCCATTTTTATGCAAATACCTACAGTCTCCAGTTGCGAGCAATGTAAATGTCATCTCTGTATCTAACTTTGAGGTTTTAGCTGACTAACAATAAATGCTTTTTACTATACCTAATTCTCCTAAGAAATATATGTCATAAAATATACCTGGTTTTCATCTGTTCCTGGTTGTATGACATCTTTTTTTTTTTTTACCATTCAAATCCTCAAACAAGTAAAATAAAATGAAATTAAAAATGCAACTTCTCTCATTACTAATCATTTCAGCTATTAAGAAATTGCTTTTTTACTGTGTAGTTGAAAAAAGCTCCCTCTTCCTTGACAGCATATTGTAGAACTGGTCCCCGTCTTAACAAGAGGATACTTTAATTCTATCCTTTGCTGCTGATTTTTCAGCTCTGCTGCCTCGCAAAAACAAATCCCCAAGTCTCATGTACAACTTCCGTCTTCAAATACACAGTCTCTTTATCTACTTGATGGAAAGTGGATTCCATTCTGTCTAGTTTTACCTCACACCAAAACGGCTCAATAAGCTGCAGCAGGACATGGACCATTTCAGTGTTAAGGGAGAAAAATATTAGCTAAAACAATTTATTTGCTTCACTTCGTGATCCAATCAGATCTTCCATGACACTTCTTAGAAATATAGTCACTACCTACCAGTAATAGGTGGCACTGCTTTCAACAGCTGGGCCACTAACCACTGAGGATTTGTACTCCACCTGGGATAATCTAGTCCTAATCTAGCACAGGACTGGATTGATCTGCAAATCAACATGACGAGAAGCTGTGTTTGTTTTGGATAGATGAAATTGTTTATTAAATTACAGCAACCCTGTTTTGAAGGTGAAAATGCTTCGACCTGTGTCACCAGACAAAAAAGCAGAGAAGATGAAAGGGAAAGAAATCCAGCAAACACCAAAGTCTTCTATGGAAAGTGTCCTGTGTGAAAAAGGAAATTGAGGTAACATTTAGCTATTTCTGAGCATTTTCCTTCCTAAGAAATAATATGGTCTATGCTAGGTCTAGCTTAAATTAAGTGTTTTTCACCTATTTGCTTATTTTCCATAAGTGGAAAGCAACCACTGCCCACAGAAAAAGAAGGTGCATTATCTGCAACTGTCCTTTTTTATTTTACAAAGTCTCACTTCCCACATACTGAAAGCCATACTGCTCTGGCCCCATTCTGTACTAGCTCCCTTCCTTGAGGAGCTTATAGTCCAAATCTACAAGACACTGTGACAGCACTTGACAAAAGCCAAATAACCAAATAACTAGAGGTAATTATTTTGTTTGTTTTGCCAAACCATGCCTTTACCTCTTGACTTTTCTACTTTTGTTAGCTAACTAATTGTAGTACAGCTCATTAAAACATCCTCCCTGCCAACCTGACTCCTCTTACCAAAATAGTAAACAAAAGAGACACACAAGTACTGCTACATATTCTAAGAGTCGAAGACATGACAGTTCTCTGAAGTGCCTCCTGAGCTCCTCACATACATTAGCCTCCCTCTTTATCCCTGAATTTGTGTGATGGCCTGTGTTCAACCCCTAAGCTGCTGCTGTTTCAAAATGCCCCTAAATGCATCACTACACAGCATGCCTCTTTCACCAAACAGCTCAGTAGAAGTGCTTGGCTCTCATATTCATGTTCAAGATTTTCCAGAAATAAATACCTCCCTGGGAAATATGCACCTGTATCGCACAACTCATGCAGCCTGTACTGAACACACGGTAGCTGGGCTATATCAGATGTACTGCACAGATAAAGCAAAGAGCACATACAGCCTGCAGCTCACTTCCAAGCTATCAGCACACAGATCTGCTGTGCATGTGTTGACACACGGACCTGTGTGCATATGGCAGACACGGCTGGGACTGCTCAGCGCTCTGCAGCTGCAGGAGAGGCAATGGGACCTGGGCATATTCTCCTCCAGGCAAGAATTACAAATAGAACAGACAACAGGCTCAGAAAAAGCAAGAACTACTGTCCATTTGGCATGTGACAGCTCCAGGTAACAGGAAGCGAATGAAAAGAAGATGGTGTGGAGAACCAAGTAAGGTTCACTTTTACTCTTTCCTTTTCATGCTGCCATTCAACATAAATTTGCAGACAATTCAACAGAAGCTGTGTTGATCAACTGGGGAAGATAGTGCTTTATCTTCAATCATAAAATACATGAACACTAGTTTATGCCTTAAGAACAGCAAGAAATGCCTTAGGCAAGAGGAAAAATCAAGGGGGAAAAATGTAAAACCATAAAATTGCATTCAGAATAAACGTTCAGTTGTCTTACATTCAAGTGAGACTGCACCAAAACCAAAGTAAATTAGACTAATTTATTCATGAGATTCAGCAGTTGGTTAGTGCTGGAATAAAACTCACTGTCCTTTGATAATACAAATTCACTTCTAAATTAAAAACACACGTTCTTTTTGTGAAGGGACAATGATCTCATTCGGAAAAGATCCCTGTCAATCTTGCACTAGAAATAATATAAAATGCAGTGACAAAATCATCATTAGAAATGTCAGATGAGGTTTAGGGATTAGGAAGGTAGTGAGAGCACTGTTTGCCAGTGTTTACCACAAACTATTAGGGAAGTTCCCTCTGAGATCTTACGTCTTAATGTAAACTTATAAAGAATAAATACAAACCTTTCATATCTCACAATAAACACTCAGCCCATGTTTCCTACACTGTCTTTCTAATCATGGTTGAATATGCCCACCTCCCCATGCTACCTGCTAAACTAAGACTTGGACACAGAAATGTTTACTTCACAAACAACAGATGGTGTAGCATAACCAAAATAAACTTACGGACAGAATTTCAACGAGAAAATGATAGAAACAAAATAACAAAAAATTTGGTACTTTCCTTCACCTCCTTACTACTATCAGCCTTTGAAAAATTATCATAAAATTCTCAAAATCTTGATTTACACCATATATGTACTAAACAAAAGTAGCAAAACTACAAAGAAACAAGTTATAGAAGATGGACTGTTGTGTAACTGCAGTCACTCAGCTTTTAGCTTTGTACTTCATATCTGAAAAAATCTTGAGGTTTTTGTGAACACAACTGAATTTCTTCCATCATTTTTATTAACTACATATCTACTAATTTATTTTATTGAGACTGTTGTCATTTAGCTAAAGTAGCAGTAATCCAGGCTAAAACTGATTGCATCCGAAGTTCAAAGACCTGACAAAAGTGAGTGGAAAGCTGGAAGGAAAGCTTAAAAAAAGGGGTAGAAAAATCACTTTGGAGAAAATATATGTACTACAGTAAAATATCCTTAAAACTATACAAATACGTGTATAAACCTAAACATAACATTATTCTCTACCCATACAACACTGCATACTAAGATTTTAGGAAAATCAAATGCAACAGTTATCATATCAAGGCTAAAAAAATCATACACGCTGTCCCAACATTTGACTACAGGATCTGTAGGATCTCACAGATGCTAGGATGGAAAAGCATAAGCAGTTCTGGGTGCAACAGAAGTCCTAAGGATCTGCATAACGTGTATCACTCTGTAACCTCAAGGATAACACTGATACATCAGCTACCTGATTCTGACCTACCCAATGCAGGTTTCTAAAAATCACAGTGTGACTGCAGTAATTTCATACAACACAATGATTACTTAGCCCGTAAGGAATCACAAATGCTATTCTGAATGTATTAGATTTGTGTAATTAAGCTGTACCTACTACAGCATATGAATGTACACAAGAATATGCACAATAGGCAGGTCACTTTATATTCAAAGTAATACTCAAAGTTATTCAAAGTTATTAATTCAAACCGCAGACCCAAAAAAAGTTGAAAAATAGGAAACAAAAAGCCACTGTTGATTACAAAATCACAAATAAATCTTTTAATTATTTAAACATTAGATCATCCATTAAATTTTTTAAGTTTGCCTGGTTTACCTCCAGAGTGTGCTCTTTATAGACTTGCAGTGGACCTTTGGTTTTAGCTGTATCCCAGATTTGCAGAGATCCATCTCCACTACAAGTGATCAACACATGTTCATTATTCTCACTCCATGTCACATCAAACAGGCCATCATTCCAGTCGAAACTAAACAAAAAAATGAAAATATTTGTCTGTGAGAAAGCACAACATAAAAATCTGGACTAGTTACATGCAAAGACAGTATTTCTTTAAATCGCCCTTTTTACCATTCTAAAGAATATTTTTATATATTTGAGTTCCAGTGACTCTTCTTACAATTATAACTTACTTGCCATAATGCTAACATCTAAAACTGTATGACCAAATAGTTAAAGCATAAATGAACCAAGAACCTTTCACACACAGAGAATGAACTCTGATTTCAGTCTTGAACTTGCCATGCAAACAAAGACAGAGGTACAATATGTCTCAGTCTGATCTATGGTTTCTCCACGCTGCTTCTACATAGGTAGGAGTCCTTTGTTTATAAAAATTATGGTAAAATAAGAAAAGCTGTGTTGGGAGAGCCCTATCCAATTCAAAACACCATCAGGAATCTGAGTCACAATGAAAAACCAATGGAAACACAGTAATGAACTTACTGAAGATCTCTACACTCCCCTAAAAAGGCTACCAACACACCAACAGTTCATCACATGGGATCTGGTACCATATATTAATTGCTCCGCGACAACTATCAATGACTGCGCTACTATCTGATGGCAAATAAAATTTATTTACTCCCTTTTCACTGAGGGTTTAGCTAAGCTGTGGTTAAACTTCATGGCACCTTGCAGTAATGATGAGGGAAAGGCACGCACATGGAATGCTTTGACAGCGAAAACAACAGTCAGGAAGTTAAGAGGACTCTCTACCACAAAGTCAGTGGACTCACTGGAAACACAGAAATGAACAGTACTAAGCAGAAGTAACAGAGTGCTGAACAACTTCAAAGAGTCTTGCTTTATAATTATGAATGAAAAAAAGTTTCTCTGAGTCTGATCAACTATTTTTTAAGCATTTCTATTTCAGCCCTCTTAATCTAAACAGCTGCTGTTTCAAAACTTTCCTTAAAAAAATTTTAAGTCAATGACAGTCAAGTATTAAACCCTCTCCTTTTTAACCTTTCTCCTCCTTCCATCCAGAACGAAATCAACCTCCTCTCCTATGCTTGGAATATTTAACCTCCTAGGAAGGACCCCCATGACTTTATGTAGCTTCCTGCTCTATTTTCAGTAGAAATCAATCATAAGGGCATAAATTTAGGTGGTAAGGCACTGTTCCTAAAAAGCTAAAGCTTATAATTTCAAGCTAGGGCAGAGACACTGCTTTTAACTTACACTGGCAGTTTTCTATAAAATGGTTTACATATGGAAATAGCACAAGCCAGATGACCTCCCACAACAAAATCTACGCAATGTAAACGTATCCTCTGTGTTGTATGTAAATACATTTATATGTAAATACAAAGATGGGTATTCAGTAAATACGTTAGCATAGATACAATACTTTATATCACTAACAACCCAAAATACTTGAGTTCTGTCTTGTATTCACAACTATACAGTAAGTTTTTCTCTTTAAAAAAAAAAAGATAGACTTCTTACCTCCTCAGCAGAACAATCCCAGCTTCATTTTGCTCCAGCACTGCCAGAGTTCCACAACCTAAACCAGCAAAATAAAACAAAACATCACAACTAGTTCCCCTAGTGTGATTCTCCAATGTGCAAATGGAAAGGGCACCTGAACTTTAAGAGACCAAACAATTAGTTGCACAATTAAACATCTTGCGGTCTCATGTTCTCTAAAGCAGTAATTCATTTAGATCAGATAGTTTTGGTTTGATTTTGGTTTTGTTTTTTCCTTCACTACAGTACATCTGTAGGTGAGGTTGAAAAAGACTCACTTATAAAGGATAAAAGCGCATTTTATGGGCCTCATGTGACAGACATACCAACGCGGGATTCCCTTGTCTTTTTGATAACACAGCAGACCAGACAGAACACTTTTTTTCCCCCCTCCTGAATCTAGTAATACAAACAGAGCTCACCAGAAACGAAACAAAAAATTCAGTTTTGATAAAAACCACACAGGTTCTGCTTTCCCCTTTTTCTGTTTTGACAATATCTGAATGGGATATTGTCAAAGTAATTCCACACTTGAAAACTCTATTTGAAATGAATGTTTTGGGGAGCAATACTCCCACTAAAAATGAAAAACGTCCCAGTATTGAGGAACATTCAGCCTGGCTCTTCCACAGGGCCGCAGGGTTGCCAGGGCCTGCCTGGGCACTCAGGTATTGAGACAAGAACGGCTGAAACTACAGAATCACAGAATATTCTCAGTTGGAAGGGACTCACAAGGATCATCGAAGTCCAACTCGTAGCCCTGCACAGAACACCCCAGGAGCCATGTACCTTAGAGCGTTGTCCAAATACTTCTTGAACTGTCAGGCTTGGTGCTGTGACAACTTCCCCGGGGAACCTGTTCCAGTGCCCAACCACCACTCGGTGAAGAACATTTTCCTAAGAGCTAACCTAAACCTCCCCTAAAACAGCTTCGTGCTGTTCCCTTTCGTCCCGTCAGTGTAGAAAGTATTTTCAGACATTTTATTCACCATGTGTACGTCTCTACTAGTGTATTTATTCTCGACCCTATCAAATGAGCGCTCCTCCGCGAGGGCGCTGTGAGAACACACGGCAGCAGCGGGCTGGGACTCGGGAAGCGGCAGATCCCGGGGGGCTGGGGGCGGCACGAGCAGCTCCCGCACCAACCCCAGCCCGGCCGCGGGCACAGGCGCTGTCCCACAGCAAAACCAACGCAGCGCAAAGGGAAGTCGTCCCCAAACGCTTTTGCAGACACCGTCTGCCCTTCCGCACACCCGCGTTTCCAGCCTCCTCCTTCTCCTCCCGTGAGGAGCCACGTTCCCGGTCACCCCCGCCGCCGCCGCCCCCGCACCTGCCATGCCGTAGTACTGCGCGACGGCGCAGGCCACTCGCCCCGGCCAGTACGGCGAGAACTCCGCGCGTAGCCGTGCAGCCCGGGCAGCCGCAGGGCCCGCCGGCCCCGCCCGCCATGGTGCCCATGGCCCCCGCCCGGACCTCCGCCGAGCCGCGGAGGAGCCGCCGCGCCCCGGCCCCGGCCCCAGCCCCGGCGGAAGCGCCCGCCCGTCGGGCGTTGCCGGAGCCGCGGCGCCGCCACCGCCATCTTTGGCGATGGCAGGACCGGCCTGGGCTGTGCCGGGGCGGCGAGCTCGGGAGAAACAAGCCCTCGAAATCGCCTTCCCGCTGAGCACGAGAGCCCTTCCAAATTTCAAGGACAGTCCGCTCTTTTTTATGCCACGTAAGACATAAATCAGCTCGTTGTATGAGCATCAGCTTGAATACACGAGATGTTTCAATCAAAGAATGTATGTTATCTGCCATTTTTCTTTTTAGAAAGACTTAAGCTATTTCATTCCTCAGGTTTTTTAAATAGATCTGCATATTTTTTCATTCTCGTTGGGCAGTTATGCCTTATGGAAGTCCTTCTACGAACAAAATTCTTACACCCATGACAACTTCTTTTTAAGTCAGCAGGAATTTTGCCTTTGAAAGGAAGAGACAGTGGAGGTGTTCAGCCTTAGAAAATTAGTATTTCAGCAGAGCAGCAGGTGCAGCTTTTGCTGTGTTATAGCCTGTCTATATGTCCTTAAATACATATATATGTTCTACATATGTATCTATATCCTTTTAAAATACACATATAGATAGATATATACAGAGATTATTCCATTTGGACACAGACTAATTAGTTATAATGACCTGTCTCTGTATTTAGAGATAAAAACGCCAAAGTATTACTTTACACATTTGGAAGGTACAGCAAAGGCAAATCAGGTTATTTAATCAAGGTTACATCATGGAGCTTGGAGTATACTTCTGCTACTTAGCCTTATATTTAAAATTAAACCTTGACTACAAAATTTGTTGTAAAGCCACAAAAATGTCCAATTGCTTAAATTGGAACTCAGATGCAGAACACTGAATTAGGAGTTCTACTCATTCTTTGATTTCATGGTAAAAATGAAAACAAATATGTTTATCAAGCAGCCTCCAGGATTTTAGAATAAAATCAGTTCAAATTCACTGCAAGTGAAGCTCAATCTAATGTATCCTTTGCATTATCACAGCAGTCCCAAATCCTCTCAACTGGGAATTTATAGTCTTAATTTATTGATGGATATCACATGAGATAATGTTTTTTTAGCCTTGGGGCAAAGGAATACCTTACAGAATAAGCTGCTCCAGGCCAAATTCAACCAATTTTACCCTCTGTGGACTCTTTTTACATCAATTTATCTTTTTGAAATGCAAGTTACAAGACAGTTTTCTGAGCAAGTGTTTTTAAGGTAATTGTCCCCTTTGTGACTGGGATGTCAATAACAACACTTGAAAAGATACAGGGCTACTGCAGTGGTGCAGTAAGTAAATTTGGACTCCGCCATTTGTAAGGTGTGTGAGTCAAGTGCTTGATGGTTTAAAGTCCAGTTATTCTGTGGACAGTTTATCACTGAATTGGAAAGGTTTCATCAAGTGCATTGTTCAAAACTAGTTGATCTTTTGTAATGAGTGAAATTCTGCAGAGAGGTTACACAAACAGGAAGCAGTTCTTATTGGTGGCCCAGCTTTGTTTAAAAGACACGATTAAAACAAGTTTTGTAGACATAAAGATCAAGAAGCAGATAAAAGGTTACAGGGAGGTCCTGAGAGAAAGACTAGTTCCCCAAACATTTTTTTCACAAACAAACTTGTGAATTCAGGTTTTGAAGATCCTAAGAAGTAGAAAGCAAAATAATACAGCAAGTGAACGTATTTGCATAGGATGGTTTCAAGGTAGAGAGAATAACAACTAAAGGAACAAAAGCTATTTTACAAGCAAAGAGAGAAGGGCCCAACAAACAAAGTTGCTAAACATGACTATATTTCTTCTTCACCCTCTGGTCATCTGAGTAAATTAAAGAAACATGAAAGACTGCTAATCATAGTAGCACTTTATATGCAGCTATTGAAAATGGGTGGTCTACCAGCCAGCTCCTTCCACCGAGTAACACCAATCACAGAATCAATTAGGTTGGAAAAGACGTCTGAGATCACTGAGTCCAGTCTGTGATTGAACACCACCTCATCAACTAGACCATGGCACTAAGTGCCACATCCAGTCTTTGCTCAAACACTTCCAAGGACAGTGTCTCCTTCACCTCCCTGGGCAGTCCATTCCAAAATCCAGTCATCCTCTTTGTGAAGAAATTCCTCCTAATGTCCAACCTAAACCTCCTCTGGCACAGCTTGTGACTATGTTCTGTTATCCTGTCCCTGGTGGCCTGGGAGAAGAGGTCAATCCCCACCTGCATACAACCTCCTTTCAGGTGGTTGTAGAGAGTGATAATGTCTCCCCTGAGCCTCCTGTTCTCCAGGCTGAACAAACCCAGCTCCCTCAGCTGCTCCTCATAAGACTTGGCTCCAGTCCCTTCACCAGCTTTATGTCCCTTCACCAGCTTTATTGCCCTTCTCTGGAATTGCTCCAGCACCTTAGTGTCCTTGCTGAATTGAGGGGCACAGAACTGGACACAGGACTCACTGGTGAGGTGTGGCCTTAACAGTGCCTAGTACAGGGGAAGAATCCACATGGATTCTTCCAAACAGACAAATCCTATGTACAGCAGTAGATGGCAGCCATGTTCCATGCAAAAAACCGAGTCTCCTCAGTTGCAGGAAAAAAATCCCCAGCTACACTGAAATTATTGTTTTCCTAACCCAACATAATTTCAATAAAAAAAAGTTGCTTAGTATGTAACTTTTAGGCTGTATTTATGCAGCTGTCATTTCTCTACAGTCAGCTCGGAGTGCTACCCCTCCTAAACCTTAGAATAGGTGGTTGAGATGCTTACAGCAGCATTTTCACCCTTTCAGTCCCAAGAGCTCTGTTCTGTTACAAACATATGTCCTCATTTCATCAGCTTGCTATCTGACAGCTAGCTTAGGTGTGAGCTGAGCTGGTAACCATGGCCGCTGTATATGCCAATCCTTCCAAAACCCTTGCTGGTCATCAGAAAAAGTAATCAGGTAGGCTTGGGTCCAGATGTTTAAAGAACTTATAAAAAGAGCTTTTCTACCAGAGAAAGTAGAATGTGAGCCATTCCTTCACATGCCAGGACAAGTAGCTTACAACACTGAAGATACCCAGGGACTGGGTTTACTGAGTAAAATTTTTTCTTGTCTTTTAGCTATTGAACCATTCATTAGGCTCCATGCCATCAAGATTTTCTTCTGCAAGTGATTGCTCATATTGAGTAATAGAAACGTAGAGGTGTTCCCAGCTGAAATTCCCATACTGCCATAAAGCTTTAAGAAAAGCATTAAGGTTCATTATAGGATTGCAAAACTGGCAGCAGGGAAAATAAGCAAATGAAAGTAAGCAAGGGGGTTGCAGGAATGAATGAAAAGGAAAAGGCTCCCCGCATGTGGGGAAAGTAAGGGTTGTGGTGTTTGGAAGGAAGAGGCAGTTAGCACAGAGCCTTTTCTGGAAGTCTAAAAAACAACAAAAGAAGCAAGAGAAGGGAAAGGGGAAGACACTGGTGCAGAGGAAGATTTAGACAAGGTGATTTAGAAAGAAATGGAAAAGAGTATGAAGGAAGAACAGCACACATTCTTCACCATGCTCACAGGAAAAGGGCTTCAAGGATGGTCCTGACTAGTGAAATATCCATCCCTGCTGATGTATCCACCTTGCTCAGTCAGGTTTTGCTGGCTGCTGTCTATGTGCACCAGGCCATAATTTGGTAAGCAGATTCCTCACATTATTACTGTTCCATGATTAGCTGCATCCCTACACAGTGGCCACCAGCCTCTATCTATCTGCCCCTTTGTACGTAAATATCGCTTGAAACGTTCAGTGTAATTGTAAAATTACCTTTTCTTAAAGATTGGCAAAATATTACCTTCTCCCTATTGAACTTAAAAGCTACTTCTCATTGTCTACAGTGATATATTTAGTCTGACTTTTTAAGACCTTTTTTAGAAACAAGTTCTTTTTATTTCAGTTTAATTGTTTCTACTGCTTGTGAGAGTACTGGCCTAAAACTTACAAAAATTGCATTATGTACTTTTAATATCTCAGATTTTTGTATCTGCAAATTTCTTTAAATTCTTTTTTTTCTTACACCGTAATTGAAGCATGCTGTAATCCTGCAAACTTCTTTGTCCTGCTTATCAGTGAAGAGCTTACAGTGTATCTCCAATCTCTCATTCCTATATATTATCCTGTAGTTAAATAAGAGGACCTTAAAGTATGAATGAAATTTAACATCCACTTTAAACCCAGTATCTGTAGTGATATATTTCAGTCCATTCTACCAATTCCATCGACATTACCATAAACAAAATTCAAAATGGAGGTTATTCTACAGTAATTTTTCTCCCTCTACTAGACACCGATGGCCATAATACATGAAAAATATAGTTTGGACAGAGCTATGTTAAATGTACATATGTTTTAAATTTAATCTCTATAAATCAGGATACATTTGAACTACCTTTTTTGGTCTTGGATCTTGTTTACACCAGTTGGAGCAGCTAAATCAAGCCTGTGGCATCTGTCATGTGCTGTTTGTCAGTCATCAAAAATTGCATTTACATTTGCAACTATTAACGTTGGTAAACTCTTTGATGTTAAAGTTATAATTATGGTTAAAACTAGAGGCCAGTGATTTATAGCTGTAGAAATGCAAAACGAAGAAAGGGCCATTATTTCAACAAGTCTACAGCTGACTGCTTGTTACATGTTTTTATCTGTTTCATCTCTGAAAAAAACAGAGCTGGAACAGGACAACACTGAATAATGATTAGATGCAAAGTGGTGCTAAAGATGTTAATTCTACAACTCTTGAGAAACAAGGGAACAAGGTAAGAGTGCTTCTGATAACAAATGGAGTGTTATTTTGGTTTTTAAAAGATCCTTGGAATTATCTCCTAATCAAACATGAAAACAGAAGAGCTCCTAAATGATCATTCAGTTCAGAGAGCTAACAGATTAAAAGATATGTTTTCACTTTATAAAAGCATCAGCAATTT